GTAGGGAAAACGACCATGGGATTTTTACCAGAGAGTGAAAAATGGGATTTCAACTGGAGATCTTCCATGATTTGCACTGAGGAGAGAAAATAAACTCCCATTGGCGAACCAAAATTTATATTATAAAGAGAAAATAATGTCCACTGTTTGTTGAAAATGATGTTGAGGCAGGTGGCGGCATCGCTGGTGCCGTCCTCGCGAGTTCACTGAATTTGCTTGAAATGATCTTGATGATGGTGTCGAATCCAGCTTCGAAGAAAAAAAGGAACAGCCGAAGGAGTGATGATTGGGATGAACCAGATCTGCTATCGAGGAAGAAGATGCAAGAGATGAGCATCATGATGGCAGGGATAGCCATGCCTAGTGACCAGCTCACATTGCTCCTATTTTTTTTCACAGGAAGTAGAGGAGAAACGAGGAACATCAAATAGACTAAAATATAAAGTTTTAAATCTGAATTGTTCCGAACACAAATCCCGATCAAGGAACAGAATCATAGAGATAACCAAATTAAAATAAGTGTAAGTAAAGAGAGTAGAAGAATGATGAAGAAGAGAACCAAATTCTTTTTTTTTCATTTTTTCTTCATATCCTTCCTCAAAAGACGAAGACAGAGAACAGTAGAGTTTCAGCAACTAGAACAGGGGAAGAAGATGAACTTGGAGATTTAACAGCAAAAGATGGTGAAGGAAAGAGCTCGGAGGCTTGATCGCCGGAGCAGGAGAAGGAGCCTTCGATGGAGTAGAAGAAGATGGCGGCTTTGCACAATGTTAATTTTGCCAAGAATCCAAAAGTAGAGGTCAACATGCGAGCATTATTTCTAGCCTGCACAACGAACACTTATGCAATTGTGGAACCTGTGAGGGAAGTACTTGACAACTTAGTTCTTGGGTTTGCTGAATAAGCTGAAGGAGAAGCAGACAACACTTTCAAGGCCAAAGTACTGGTAGAATTTACAGAATGGCTAATTCCACGGAATAGTACAGGAGCCTCTATCACTTTCTGTCCACAAATCACATCATACTGTATAAAATCATCCGCAGCAATGAGCGTGTGTTCTCAATCAGTCCCCGAAACAGCATAAACGACGTGATCGATAACAACAACATCCAAATCCTCGTCAAAATCTACACTGCATTATGAGGCGATCCCCCTGATCAAGTTTGAGGCGGAAGAGTCCGCAGCCAGGATCAGATCGTGCCCCGCATCAACGAGTCCAGCACGGCGACCTGCTTAAGTGATCCCCCAAAACGCTGGATGGAAGGAGAAAAAATGACAAGACCATCGTACAGGTAGTGGTCGTATCGATGGAGGGAAATCTTCGGATCGTCGGCGAGGCAAAATTCGAGAATGTAGCCCCGAGACTCGAGGGACTTGAACAAGAGGGAATGAGATGAGCGGATGGCGAGGTCATCGACGAGGACCAGGGGACTGTGATTCGTATGATTTTCAGCGAAGGACTCGCATACAAGTGGTAAAAGCTATAGAACGAATAGGAGGTGGAAAACCATTTTCACCATTGCGATGGAGTAAAGCTCAAGGAGAAAACCTTCCTCCCTTCCCGTACCTTCTTGCGGGAAGGGAGTTTCACGGTTCTTCAACAATCCCAATTAGGGCAAAAAATTTAGCTCTGATACCATATTAAAATTTATAATAATGCAGAATAAAATGAAATACTTCGAAATACTTTCATTGATAAGAACTGAGATATAAATAACCTTTACAAAAATCCTATAATGGAAAAATAAATAAATAAATAAATAAATGATATGAAAAGAATGATATATCATTTGGTATCTCTAATAATTAATTTATATTAATTATTAGGAGATAATAAGAAATAATATACATTAGAGAAATAAATAATTCCTAATATATAAAAATAAAATATCTCTCATATTAAGGAAAAAATTTATTTCTCATAATTAGAAATAAATTATTTCCTATTATAAATCTTAACAGGAAAGATAATAAATCCTGCAATTTAAATTAAATATTTATACAAATACATAAGAATTGGGTGGCATGAATGTATACTCAAAAATATATTTAGAGAACGAAATCAATAATCTCCAATCCCAATGCCTGGTATTACATGCATGAAGGACGAATATTCCAGTTTTCATTAAAGGACAAATTTGAACCAACATAAGACATAAAATCTATACAGAGAAAACAACACTAACAACAGCAGATTTATCCAAAGTTCACAAAATAAATAATATATCTATGGTAAAAATTTATCATATATTTTAATCTAACAGCACACCCTGTTTGATCTTAAAATACTCTAAAATGCTTTTGGTAAATGCAGCAGCTCTCATAGGAACAAGATATAGAATTCTTTCTTCCTGAATAGACCAACAAGTGTAATTAACTTGCAGAGGAAACAACTTTACGCAGCACCTGTTTCGGGGCATTTTTATAGTAATTTTATGTTAAGTACAAACAAATGTTTATCGAAGCAGTTCACGTCCCTTCAGCTAATGTAGTGATTTACAGATCAGTCAAATGGTGGGCTATACCATTGGATTTCAGGAACTTCTTTACTAAGAGAGCCAGAATGGCAACGGCGAGTCCAATGGCGGCCCAGTTGAAAAAGCGGTCGGTCATGGGTTTTTGGGCTCGAACAATGTCCCGTTCAGGTTGTGAATTTGTCTCCGATGTTGTTTCTCTCGAAACCGCAACTTCTGTGCGGAAGCTCAATCTTAGTCGGCCGGCTGCTGCATCAACGCGGAGCTCGTGCACGTCCTCGGCAGGTATTCCCTCTACTTGTGGGTTTGGAACAGCCCCTTCTGTGGGTGGTGCTTCGTTATTACTAGCATTGGTTTGCTGTGGTTCTTCTGATATGGTGCCGTTGGTCTGCTTTTGGTCCGCCGGCTGCTGCATCAACACGGAGCTCGTGCACGTCCTCGGCAGGTATTCCCTCTACTTGTGGGTTTGGAACAGCCCCTTCTGTGGGTGGTGCTTCGTTATTACTAGCATTGGTTTGCTGTGGTTCTTCTGATATGGTGCCGTTGGTCTGCTCATTAGTGCTCGCAGGTGGAGGGAGATCAGGAACAGGAGGAGCTTTGGTGAGCATGTATTGATGGACCTGTAGCCAGACATTCGTTTAAAAGAGCAAAATGAATTTTTTTTTTACATTTATACCACCCAAAAATTTCAAATCACATAAAAAAAATACCTCTATGTTAACTTTTAAAAAGAGAATTAAGAGGGCATGTATGTAAAAATAAAAGTTTAGGTGTAAGAGATGTAAATACATAGGAATTGAGTGGTATGTATGTAAATCTTTCAAAAAATTTAAGCACAGTAAAAACGTAAGAGAAGATGAACCTCATTGATTAGCTTTTGCCGTTCTGTGTTGCCGTATACAGGCGCAGTTTCGCGTGACTTGATAGCAAGTTGGCGTCTTTCCCCCTTGGGATAGTCAAGGGAGCCCAACGCGCCACCAGGGTTGGTTGGCATAAAGGCTATCAAAGCAACCAGAGCTGTACGAACTGTGAAAAGTAGAAGAATTTGTCACAAAATTCAAGTCTAGAATATAAGAGCGCGGTTCGTAAGACTCTTCACGAATTCAAAGGTGATTCTTTTTATAAGACAGCACAAACATGGAGATTCTCATGTTCTAATTAGTGAGACATACAGTCCAAGAATATTTGCTTTGATGTCTTTTAATAAAAATATGAAAAAAAATTTAAATCAGTGCTGCGCTCCGGACCAAGTGATTATGGTTCTATATAAAAGTATGGTATCTAAATAGCACATGGCTCAAAATAAGCATCGAGCTTAAAGTAGGACTGAGCGAATCCCCCTCTAATTGTGAATCATCTCCAATAAGTGCATGATGCAAACAATGTGCCAAGAAAAGTTCTTTTTCTGCAAAAGTGTATTCTCAATCGACAAGCCAACCCCCATAAGCTTTAGCACCAGGCTCAGACAACCCCAACCTTGGAAATGGGGATTGAAACTCACAAGAATCCTATAACATTTCAAATAAAACACAAATAAGCAAAATAACAATTATTTATGAAAAGGGGTTCCCTTGTGCTATTTTTCGTCTTTTTTGATAGCTGTACTTAAAAGTAATATCATAAATTGTGATGAATATTCCAGCATGAGACATGAAAAGATACTTCATCAAAAATTTTGAGAAAAATATTATTAAAGGTTGAGAACCTTCCTTTAAGAGAATGGATCGTAATTTCAAGGAACAAAATGAAGTTGTGAGATGCTTGGATATATTCAAGATAGAAAAGATGCAAAAATACCCTGCATCTCATCAATACCAAACTGTACTAATTGGGATTGTTGGAATGGTATCTTCCATTTATATTTCAATAAATTGATGACTTGTCTATAAATCTGACAATA